GGTAAGCCGAAAGCGCTGTATATGGTTATGAGAAAATTGGCTCGCTGTTGTTCGGACCCAATGGGTAGAAGGAGACTTCTGGAAATTACGATTTTTTTTATCATCACGTTGCATTTCATCACTCTAGTTTATATTTTGTGTTAATTAATTTTCGGTCAGTAAATCTGAGTGCGCGTACACATTCTTTTGTTTTCCTTTTTATTACCAGGAAGTACGATTACAAAAGGTTAAGTACCAAGTTATTATACATTTTTCAAGGGTGGTAACCTTCTTTTATTTACTTACTCTTCCCTGTCTTCAACATTAGATGCTATTACTGGTAGTAATTGTAATTCGCCTCTATAAATGATAGATATGTCAACTTTCAAAAAACCCACTGGTCCAGCGGCAGGATCCCGCGGTGAACACAACTGCGCCCACTTATGAAATACTTGGTGATCTGCATTCAAAATAAACCCTTAACGAAGCCCTTATATTGAAGTTCACAAATAGGTGAGAAATTTTATAACTGAGAGAGAATTATAAAATTCCGTTAAACAGATTTGAAAAAAAAATTGCAAATAGGATTGTTGGCAATAATTGAGAAGAAACTAAAAAGTTACATTTTTGGTCATTAAAAATACATACGTGTCTGCAACCAGATGGAACCTAGGTCGACACTAGCTTCGCCAAGGAGTCTCGGCGGTGCACAACAACGTGGCTCCATGACCGCCAGCCACAAACACATCAGTCGTATTTCTTCAATACTCGTATACATCTCGAACACGAAGCTCTAAGCATTTTAAAATACAACAATAGTAATCGGCACTAGATTTGGCACGTCAGGATTAAGGGGAAATTCTTGATGTCGACGCCAACTCCTGAACCGGGTTCTATTCGGGTTACACAATCAAATTGCGTCTTATAGTCAATAAAAGGATTTTACATAACTCTCCTGTCTCACAATGTACGGATAACTTCGAGTATCAGTTTTATTATATACCTCTATGACACACTTTAAAGAAGTAGGTAATTTAATGTTAAATAGAAATAGAGAAAAAAAATGTACCAATCAATTATATCATAGACTATTTTTTTTTCTCTAATAACAAAAAAAATTACTTCTCTATAGGAAGGTTCCGTCATGTTCTTTCTTATGCTGGTTCGATGTTTCTTCTTGTTGAGAACAATAATAACGTAGGAATTTGCTGACTGAGGATTGTGCCATGCTAGCTTTTTCGCTTCTAGAACATTCACTGACACCTGTTTAAGCAGTGTTTAATCTACTATTTATTGAAGAACACAACCAATATTCGTCGTAGTTAAAGTATAAGTGGTGTAATAGTAATAATAAGCAAATTTGATAAAAAATCTGTATTACGAAACGGGAAATCAGTGAAGCCCGTTGTTTAAATAATTTCATAACTCACTATACCAGTACCCTGACATATATTAAAGACGTAAAATGTGACATAAAAAGATTCAATTAAAACCGCAAAGGCGGCAATTTACATCGGTGCCTCATCGGTCGGCTCCACGTCAGGCGTCCATTGTATTTCCAGCAAAAACAAACTCGCGCTCTTACCAATAAGGGCCTTAAATAAATAATTTATAAGACTCCGTGTACATAACCTGAAAATACTGCGGCGTCGCTTCCGGATTGTAGTCGGTCTCGGTTCTGTATGTTGGATGGACGGCGAGTTTTTGCAAGCAACTCTTCTCAGGTGACTTGGAACGCATGCTTTTGTACATTTTATAATGAATCTGTGCGACGAAACCGTGCACGGCTCTGTGTTAATAAATCAGTCGGTGCGGGTTTCTTTTACGTCATCCGGACGCTGCTTGATTGCGATGAATGACAATAAAAGTTTTGACATTTCGTATTTAGCATATGCGCTTTTTTCTTCTTATTTATGATTAATTAAATCATCAAAAATATGTCAACAAATAGGTTTAAATATAACTATTTATTGACGTTAATGAGCCAATTATGAATAATGAAACATTTCTCTCGATGTTTTTAAATATGTAAAATCTTGTACAATTTCACATTCATAAAACAATAATAAGGATCACGTAGCTTCATTTCAGTATATCAGTTCATTATACTTAACAATAAGTTTGTTTTTTGATTGTTTCTTTTAAACGTTAGTCAACTAATTTGAACATACCTTTTTAAAGTCGTAGTTAGTAAAAAATGTATATAATACTGTTAGTTATTCAAAACACGAAATAATAATATCTATTCGTATAACGTTACATTGTAATGTCATAGCAGTTGTAATTTTCATAACTAGGATTACAATAGCTTTGGAAAAAACATAGAAAGATGAACTAAAATAGATAGAGTTATGTGTAGCATAATGCCTAGAAGGCAGGCAGCATTTTATCGCTAAATTGCAAATACTTGACCTTTGAGAGAGGATGCAAGTCGCTGTCTTAACGGGCAGGAATAACGAGCTAGCGACTAAGTTTCTTTAATAGAAATATTTTTATCTTTTTTACTGTAACAATTAACAATCGCTATTTTTCCTTCATAAAACATTATGTGAATTATTAATTAGATTTTAGAGAACATAAATGTCACGTCACAAATTTAAATATTAATTAAAATATGTGTTTAATTTATACAGAAGGATGTAAGTAAATGTAATACGACTCGTCTTTAGTCATTTCACAGTAAGCTTTTATAGAAGTAGATAGCTTATAAAATAACTAGACTTTTTAAAGGTACATATAATGTGGATACTTATGTTTATTCTACTTATTAGCGAAAAATATATTATTTGTAAAAGGAGTCAATTAATGAAAAATAAAATATCGATGAGCTAACGTCTATAAACACAATTATTAAATTTTTTTTTTTATTATGGAAGAACATAGTTGTAGCCTACATAGTTAGAAGAGTTTTCCATGGTTGAACTCTGATGTCATTCTTTGTGTGTGACATTATATTTTGTATATTTATCTCGAACCTAAATCGTTGAACGGGACGTCTTTCAACAGGGCGTTTTGTCCCTCATTAAAATAACTATAGAACTAAAAATGGGCCGATTCCGGGATTAAGGAGATACATGTATACGTCAAAGATTTATAGACGGGTCCGTATCGAATGTTACCGAAAATCGCGGACCACGTCATCTTGTTAACATATTTCAACTAGATTTATAATGGCATATCAATATTTTAATGAGGTATCTACGCGGTATGAAATAATAACATTCTGCCGACTATCTTTTCTGGTATGATGTAAGAAAGTTATATACAAATTCATAGACATGGAGTAAATCACACAACTGTAATTACCTGCTATTACTCGACTCTGTTTTTTTGGGTAACTTTTGTTATACATATAAATAAAATATACATTTTTAGTAGCCATTGAGTGGAGCAAATTGCTTCAGTTTATTCTAGTAGGCGCACTCTAAGCTCTTTTGTGTCGAGAAAGAATTAGGACTTTCGTCTCGTTTGTGTTCCTTTGTAGGTCAATTCACTTGAAGCCTATTTTGGTATTACTAAGAATAACAAAATGTAATTTGAAACATAAATGAATACACGATCTTGTTTTCGATATTTAACGAAGGAATATTCTTTCGTAATCTGTTATGAGTGCTTGTTAAAAATGAAATGCTTATTTCTATTAAAATTAATTGGCTTGGAATAATTGAAATAAAACAATTTTTTTTTTAGTTAATATATTTTATTGATTTCATTTATATACGAGTATTACGAAGGTTGTTTTCTACATATATACTAAATACATATAAATGTTGAGTATGTTGTGATAATATTAAGTGGTATTTACAAACACGAAGTAATTTAAAAAGTACTCAATAAACACATTACGTAACAAAAATTTGATTGAACGTAGCCGTTTACAAGAATACATTATAGTTGATTATTTAAATATAAGAGACTTAGTAGTCCCAAAAAAAGTTCGTGTACATACAAATATTTTTATGTGGAGGAATTAGGAATCAATAAAATGTTATGGTTTTATTTATCTTTTATTATATCTTGGCACATTTTATTTTAAATCAAAGAAACGTAAAATAATACTACGTATTAATAAGTATACCTACATCCAGCTAAGGTACAAAGTTTGAAGTATCAAATACGACTATAGACCATACATATGTCTCAGTAAAAAATATCTATCGTAAGATTTCTAAATTCCCTACAGATGTATTTCTAGAAAATCTCATTAGTTCGCGATGTATTTTTTTTAAAGAATGTTTCCAGAAACTATTAACTTTATTAAATTCAGTCTGGATCGGATACTAAGAAATCTTAAACGATACACGTGACATAAGTAATATAAACGCTTTCGCCACCTTGTTACGGCTTTGGTACAAAATAAGGAAAAGTATTACTTTGACCAGAAATTGTTTTGCTTTTGAGGTATGTAAATATTATGTCTATCAAACATATTACGAATATAATATGGCGTCGTATGAGAGTGTTCACATCTTAATAGCGGCAAACAAAGTAATTTTTATTGTATTTTATTAGGTAACAAACGAGCCAGCGGCCACCTGAATTCACCGAAACTGCCAAGCGACCGCTTCCCCTTAGACATCCGGAATTGGAGATATCCTCTCATAAGTATGAACAAGTACTTAGACTTCAATCAAATCAAGCCTATAGACGCCAACAATTACTGAATTACAAAATGTAAAATAAATACAAATGTCTTTCTTTCTTAAATTATGACAAGTTTTTCAACAAAAGTAAAAACAATGTAATTATATTAATACTGGAATGTATTTATTATAGCTTTAAAATGCAGTTACATACGAAGTTTTTTTTTGTAACATCTAAATGTAACAAAGTGATCGTGTTACATTAGAAGAAAAATCTTTAAAAACATTTATTTCGTACACATACTATTTAATTATATTTAACATACATTTTCATTCTACGAGAGCTTAACTTACATATATATATAATAGTTTAAATTAAAAATTATAATATATATAATAACACTGACCTGCATGTAGCATACATATATAATTCCTTAACAATTTTCATTTGAAACATCTACGTGGAAATTTAACATAAATAAAATATTATATAATTTTCTATCACTACTTTTGACTAGTACCACTTTATTTACATAAAGCTTTTAAATAAAACTAAAACAATATGGAATAATCTAATTTAAGAAATCAGCGTTTTCAAAATACATATACATTGAAGCACATAAATACATCTACTGTAATTTATAATTACTGTAATTACTGTAAAGAACAGCAGTGTTTTTGAAGGAGACCGATTGTTCTTTTTGCATTTTTAATGTTACGTTTACATTGATATTCGTGAGGCAAAGAGTTAGATCTCTTTGCTAGGATTACTACAAACAATACTTCTATATCTTTTTTTATAAATCTTATTAATATATGTGATTTTAATTAACGATGGTGATTATATTACCTATTAATCAATAAGGTTCATTTTCGAGGTCAATGAACTTGATACCACAACATGTATTTTAATCTTATAAGACCAATGAAGTGATACATTGATGCATGATACATTTATTTAACATTTCTACATAGAGTATCTTTAGTGCTGAAAGAATACAAAGCGAGTAATGTATAACTCGATTTTAATTATCGATTATTAATACAATTCGTTGAAACTTATCGGATGAGGAGTATGTACTCTCATGTCGTCTATACCTTGGATAGGTTCGGCCAACATCATGGTAGAAGGGACACCGTTCGTCGACACCGGTCCTGGTACAAGTGATGTACCCGAGTGGCCTGGGTTGCCGTTCGCAGTCATCGGTCCGTGTTGGTTCGATTCTTGACGCATGATGTTACGTCGCCACTTAGCTCGCGCGTTTTGGAACCAGACCTGTTAAATTCAGACATTTTTCTAACGAAATGTATATATCTAGTAAACGTCGAATAAAAATCAAAACCTAGTCTATGTTGTCTCTTTTGATCTTTTTGTCATTACTCAACTTTAATTATCTCAACTGACCTGTAGGACTCTCTTCGATAGACCAGTTTTCTGCGCAAGCTGTTTTAAATCTTTGGCATCAGGGTTTTGATTAATCGCAAAGTAGGACTTCATGGTGCGCAATTGGTGATGCTTGAAGCTGGTTCGCATTCGCTTGGTGCGTTGAGTGTGGCTCGACACGCTGCCGGGTGATGCCACTGAAGAATCGTAAGCCAACGATTCCATTGACGAAGATAAATCACCCCTATGAAGTATTTCTGAAACAATAGTTATAATTAAGATTACTAATTCTTTTCGATAGTAAAAATTCGTCACTGTTACTATTATATAAAATCGCTGTTCGCCTAGCTTGTGCGCAGATGTAATATTTTTCGCAATGCCATTTCTAATTATTACTCAGTTGATAATATCAATGTATGAGATTTACATTTTGCGATTTTATATTAAGAATCTATGCTACACGAAAGAATTTTTCACACGTGTTTTGTTAAAATCTTTACATATGGAGTTAAAAAGTTTGAAGCTAAGTCGAGATGAAAGAAAGAAATAATTTTATTTGTTTTCGGATATAAATATTGAGATGATCCAAGTTATTCAAAGTTTGTAGAAGCTATGTTTGCGTAGTCTTTTCAAACTCAGATTGTGCCGACCGGCGCGGCGCGGCGTCGGTATCAGACTTTGAATAGTGGAGAAACTTTGTCTGTCTGTATATAGTAGCATTGTAGCGTATCGGTCACTGTCTGCCTGTCGCCACATCCTAAACTTTTTCCAAGACCATTGTTGGTGAGAGGAAGTGCGAGGATTAGTAAACAATTTGATTGCACACCTCCGCACTGCGGTTTTTGGTTCACGGATCGCGATCAATTTATTTTTTGCTAGCCTTACCCACCGACTTCCTATACTTACCAAAGTTTCAACTGGCGTAGTGCCAATAAACTTTCGTTATTTTCTTCTGGTTAAAATCTTTCACTTCATATTTTTTTACAAATGTGATAATTCTGTCGGTACATTACAATGAATAATAGTCGTGCAAATTAAAGATGTGTTATAGTACTTCAAAGTAAACGTCAGATAGGTGTCGGGAATAATTAATTCGCTTCGGAAGCTACGATGTCGCACGTTTGCACAAGCTATGAACTTCTCCAAGAAATTTACACCGATATATTTCGGAAGACAGAAGTTGTATTAATTACTCTAACTCAAGATAGGAATCTGTGCAGTAACACAAAGAGAAAATTAAGAACTTACACGTACAGCTGTCTGGCAAGACGATTACGCCAATTAACTACTACAATTTATATTCAGTTTTAAGTGTATTATCAAGTAGAATAATACGTGATATGATTGACAGTAAATGTCTGACAAATTAAAAACATTAAAGAGCAAAAAGCGTGAAGCTTATCTGAAGTTATCAGCTCGATCCACTCGTCTTGCTCGTTAAATAGCCAACGGAATTTCACCAAAAAACCGAATATTAATAATTAAAGGAAACAAGCTCGTACCCGCTGCTTACACGTTCGTCAAAACAAATAACATGCGATGATAAATGTACCGATAATTGGGCGTATTCCGATGTGAATGATATCTGCTAATGGCCGGTTCGGTCGTGTTGTAAGAGAACAGTGGTTTTTAATAATTAATTTCTATATCCTTAACACAGTTGGGTGGCTAGCGACCCTTAACGCCGCTGTTCCATGAGGCCATTTAATAATTCTCTAATGTTAATGTATAATCATATGTTTCAATCATTTATTTTTTTAAACCATAGCTTAATTATTTTTGTAACGTTATTGAATTTTCGACGGTTAGAATAGAATTGATAGAATCTCTCAATTATTGCCATTTGTAATAACGATTCTGTTATCGATTTGAAATAGCCTAGATTCGTTAATAGTTAATTAAACAGTCCCTAAGGATACATTTCATCATTTCTAAACACTAAAATATTATTAGTTCATATAACTCAAACCTGTATTTAATCAATAAACCAAAATTGGACTATCTATGCTCAACGCGGTCCGTATTTTGAACTATAATTTACAACGGACATAATCCCGATGTAAATGCCGACCTAATCATAAAAGCGACCAGTTTGATACCACTTGAAATTGTTTCAATTTTATTGACAGAATTAACATGTTACCGACTTTACGTAAACAGCTTTTGACAAAAAAAATAGTAATAAAGCATTGGTGTCGTAAAAACTTCGATATTAACGATTGGTTGTAAAAAAAAATAAAGGAGCTACGCGGGAATACGTGTTTTATTGCAGTGATAGGCGCCGCGGTGGATTGGTACAAACAATAAGCGAGAGCGGTTTTAAAAAAAAATCTTTTAAAGTTGCAATTTTTAAATTGTTTGCTCATCAATCTGCAGACGTTACGTATACTAAGTAAACAATTAAGTAGTTAGTTTTTTTTTCCAAACATGTAAAAAAGTTATGAAATAGTATCATTGTTTTTTTTTCTAATCAAATCAACAATGCTAAAACGGATTTGATTTTATTTAAATAATTAAACTCGATAGCTTATGCCTTGGACATGACAATAAAAAATAATTTGGTGGACTTGTAAGCCGATATAGAAGTGAAACGAAAGCTGCTGGTTTAGGAGCGCGTGTACTTGTCTCGATACAATATTTATTTACAGTTGCTTGAGATTTTTCAGAAGACAGAAGAATAAATGGTATTCTATGTGTTTTTCATATGTATATAATAAGCTTTGGTATACAACCTTTAAGAGTCTATAAAGTTTCTTAAAAGTGAAATAAATGTCTCATTATTAAGTAATATAGAGGCTTAGTCAACTCACACGTGCGTGGTACGGTTAGTTGACTACGTCTCTAGGTTGGGTACGTTAAAATAATGATGACTGAATTTGAAATATTAGCCAAAACACTTGAACATTGCTTTCGTTCTATCCATTAACTTTACATTACTATCTGATTTTGTTAACGCTATTTTTGGTCACATTACAAAAGCATATTCTTTGGTAAACTGCCAGTCAATATTGTAAAAATGTCTGATATTTAAATGACGTAGCGTAAAGCAAACGTACTTCTCAAACTACATCTGGTACATTAAACTTTTACTTTCTCAAAGGCACGTTATAAAGTCGAGGTTATCCTGTCCGGAGTGTTTTGACTGCAGTCCGTTGGAATGTCTGTTATCTTCGGTCACTATCTGACGACATCCGTTCAATAAAGTTGTTAGTAGCAACACCGAGCAATAAATAAGTAGCAGTTAGAGAGGAATACGCATAACGCTTTCTTTTATTTCTATTTTTTTATCTGATATTCTCACCCCCCAAAAAGTTATAGCAATTAAAAGTTGTACAGGGCTGTGATAGAAAGTTAAGTATGACAATTGTATCTGACGTATATCCTAATTAGTTATCTACATTCGCAATAACTCAATAAGGAGTGTCAGTGGCTCAGAGGTGAAGCACTTGACTTGTAATCAGCAGATGCTCAGTTTGAATCCCTCCATATACCAAAGTGTTTTTGATTTTCGATGTACATGTGTACTTTTATCCCTCTTACGGCGAAGGAAAAATGTGATGCAACCTGCACATGTCTAAGAAGATATTCAAAGATTTGTGTGAAGTCAACCAACCCGCATTTGCCAGCATGGTTGACTATGGTTTAGTCATCCTTAACTTATGGTTGGCCCCTAACCCCTCAGTGGGCACTTATCATGATGATTCGATATCCTTATACAAACTTTATATTTTTGATTTCTCTTTAATTTCTTTAATTATCTATTTCATTGCATTCAAATCATGTTAAAATATTAGATTTTTAGAATTATAAATATATAGAGCTTCTATTTGAAATATTGACAAAAACTTTGTTGCCAAGTAAGATAAATAAAAATAAAACGTTGAACATAAAGAAATAAATTAAAAAGATACGACAAATAAATACATTAGCAATGATTAATTATAAAATGGTTGAATTCAAGCGATGTCAATAATTTACATATATTAAGTGATTAAAGGTAGTTAATAGAAAATTATATATACGAATTAACCTTAAAATGTTTTTCTATAAAACGATAGCAATAAACAATATCGAAAGTTAAAATGTGTGGAGTCGGTAAAATGATCTAAATATTGATTCATGTTTTGTACAGGTGCTACTTTAATTTCAATAAATTTTAAAGCGCAGTACGTATTTAAATGAGACCATAATTTATAATTAAAGTAAACCGACTTTAGTAATTATAATTGTCTATCAAATATAAAAAAAACATAGTTTTATAAAAGTAATACAATTTAAGCAGCGCTTTAGTGCTAATAGAGATGTTTTCAACACGGTTAATTGAGCTTTTGATGTTTAGGAAATATTACTAGAGTACCTTTCGATGGATAGTATCCCAAAGTCTTTTCAAAGTCATTTATATTATAGTCTTGTCCGGTATGCTAGCAGTTTACCAGTTTAATTTGTTTCATAAAGAGAAGTAAATTCCATGAAAAAGCTTGAATTCATGGAACTTTGGATTTCCTGGATTCCATGAAATGAAACGTAATACGTAGAAGAATTAATTTCAAGTTTAATAATATCTTCAATAAACTTTGAGGTAAACAAATGGAAATGGTACTCGGTGTTTATAATAAATAGAGATTATCTTGATATCGAAGTTGTATGCAGATACAACGATCCAATTATTTTAATCAATGTTATAATTGCATGTTAAGTTTAATAAGTGTCGCGTAGATTTGTTTATACACCTGCGCGGCGTGGCTTGTGAAACTTGTGTACCAAACATAAGCAATCGTCTGCTACCGCAGGTGTGAATGGGTGCGCTCATGAGAAATGGCTTCAAACACTAAACGACTTTTTTACCGTAAGCGACGGACCCCGATGATTATGAGATAAGAGTCGGGAATGTCATTTCGAACACCACGCGTTGTATTTTTTTGTTTTATTAAATTTTATTAATTAAAATTAAATTCTATTACGGCCTCTGTGGCAGTCGTTCCGCGTGAAGAACCCGCCATACATCTGCCTTTCATTTAGAAATGTTGATCTAATTAATAAATTACTAAGTGAACCGGGGGGTCCAGTTATTGCTTGTCTTATCTATTCTCACAACTTCTACACTAAACTATTGCAGTATAGTAAGGAGTCTTTGAAGCAAAAAAATACAAAATAGAATTTAAAAAAATGGACAAAAAATATTGTAATATGATGTTAATTTCTATTGTAATATTAATATACAACTAGAGTTTTTTTTTCTGAGACTTAATGTTACGTGCAATGAGTTTATAGTAATTTTATAATTAATTTTTATTTTACTAGAATTTTTTACATAATCTGCATAACGTTGTAAAATCCTATCTGTTTAATCTAAATTATTTAGTACAGTTAATAAACAGTTGTAATTTTATATGCAATTTAAAATTAAAATGCAAATTGAAAACAGAAAAAAAATCATATATGGACGAAAAATGACAACGTATTTAAGATATGATTTTTTTCGATTTCCGATAAGGCACGTAGTTTTTGAAGAGCCCTTAGTTACCATTATCACCGTCACGCGCAACGTTCGAGTGGCGTTGTTGTGCCAACAAAGAGTATTAGTTGGCGGGAAGCCACTTATTCGTGTTCTGTTTCTGTACGTTGCACTAAATATAATTTTTAACAAAGTAAAATTTTATTTTATATGCATATTCATCTACACTTTAAGGGCACTTTTAGCATGTTTCATTTGATTAATTGATCATTCAATTAAGCAGTCATCGTGTAGACACTTGTAGCAAAAGTGAAGGTGTTCGCGATAGAAATTGTTACGTCACTAATTAACTTGCTTGTATCAAGTCGCAAAAAATATAAAAGAAAATATTTTCCACACAAAAATGTTGAAGTAACTTTAGAAATTAATAATAGGAAACACATTTCCACTCAGTTGTTAAAATTTTGTTACATTCATGAATTAAAAAGTAAGCGACTTTAGCCTAACTTAGAGCAGAGTACAGTGCCGCAACCATGCATGTAGCGGCGATGCAGTTGCATTACCAAGCGCGTAAACTCTCATGGCCAATGGAAAGTATAACGAAGTGTCGTCCCGTGGTCCATTCAGTCCAGCGTCATGATTAATCGGGTCGAGGAGTCACACAAACTGAATCCAACTCAATGAGTGCTTCGCATTTCGACGCTATAAAGAATAATCCAGACGACCGACCCCGGCAGGAGACCCAACGCTCACGTCTACCCACCTCCCGCTCAGCCTTACTACCTCACGTTGCGCGAGAAAGGGACGAGAGCAATTTCGACAATGCGTCGCCTATTCATTAGTCGTGATTACGGTCGGACTGGGATGAATTGACATCTGGGACGCCAGCGCGAGTAACGCGTCGTGCTTTCCCTTCTGAGATTTCTGCTAAATATGAAGCGACCGTCGTCTATCGATGAAATATGTAAAAATTTGCCAGTTGTGCTCGTTTCCACAAAAAAGTTACTATAGAATACACGGCGAGTGTAAGTTTCATAGTACTTACGTTCGTAAGTGCGTGTTTACTCCGAAACTTACCTTGGCGTAAGCGCAACCTCACAGAAATTGTCTCAAAGGGTAGCGAAAGCGGGAAAGCTTGAATTTCTTTTTGAAATGCCGAGGGAAATTAAATAGAATTTTTATAAACATCTTTCAGTCGAGTGAATATTTACTGACTGGCAGACTTTAATTAAATTTGTGAGTTTAACATTCGCTTTGGATGAAAACAATGTTTCGCTTTATAAGTGGCGCTTTACTTTCTTTTTGCATTTTCTTACTTACCGAGTGCTGTGCTGGTCATTCGCATGGTTTGCACCTGAATGTCCTCGGGTGAGCCTTGAGCCAGTTTTCTTTTTCTAGGACGTCCTTTGAGACTTGGTCCTCCGTTGTAAAACTGTGATGGAGAACCACCTTCGCTGTGCATATCTTGACACCTGTGTCGAAAGGAATTATTATATACGTATTTTAAAGGATCAAACTCATTAGAGTCCAGTTTGATCTTTCCTTTGATTTATGATAGTTATCACTAGTGATTCCAGTACCAACTAAACTCTGCAAACATCTTGGTAACAAGTAATAATTTGACGACAAATTCATGAAATAGCAGTTATGTGGTTAGAGTTCGATCCGCCCAATCAGAACCAACGGAAGCAAATTGAGACTAACAATCGAGTAACTACGATAGTTACAAGAGTAGTAGCGTCTAGTTTGCAGTTGTTGGGGACTGTACGTATCGACAAATTCTGAGATGATATTGGTTTATGAAACTAGTTCCACTTAGTAAAATTAGGTCAATTTTTTTATATATAAAATAGTGACATCTGTTATACTAGTGTACTGTATAATTGAATAGGAAATTTAAAAAAAATTCTAACGTAACTTTGACATGTAATATTATTTAACATGGTATCTATTTGACCAATGTATTGCGATAATAAGTTTATGGTAATCCTTTATAATATTGAACTATTCGAACATACCTGTAGACGCTGTTCATATCGTCTTCACAGTATTCGTCCATACACGCGTTGTCGTAATGCGGACGACAATACACTAGTCCATCTCTCATACCGAACACGTCGCCCTTGGACAACAGAGTACCACACGCGTAGCAAGTGAAGCAAGTTAGATGATACACCATGTCACGTGCTCTCATCACCAGCTCGTTAGCGGTGATGCCGTTGCCACAGCGGGCGCAGCGCTTCACGCAGAACATTCTGGAACAAGATGCTTTAGTTGGTGCAGATAAAAGCAGTATACATACGACAAGAAATTACAGAATCCAAGTTGCAGATAGACAGAACGCATCACTGCCGACGCGATATTTTCCTATTTAGTATTTGATGACATACGAGCAAAGGGTCACCAGAAATTGCTAAAATGGAGTTATAATTAATCTAAACAAGATATATTAATAAAATTGAAATAAAAGATAATATATAGACTGAAATTTCCATATATCCTATCCCTTTCCAAAAAAAAATCTTAACATGGCTTCTTTATAGGACTTTCTTTAAATTTTCTAATGATCTGTTTTAAGGTAACATTACTCTTGTCAATAATAAACCTGGAACATATTCCATTCATAGCAATAACATTTGTAATAATATAACAATTATACCATATGCTCCACTCAAACAACCCCACCTACGAAAATATTTACCAACTTCTTTTAGATTTGACCCCCGGTTTACAAAGGCATTTATACTGTGTGTTTTTATTAAATCGATTACTAAGTATTGGAAAAATCTGTTACTCGATTCTTTACGGGCTAGACCCGTATAAGAATTTTTAAATTATTTTTACAAGTAAAGTTTTAATTTTTGAACTTTTAACATTCCAAGAAAAATTTCAACCCGATTCTGGGGATTGATGCGTTTTATAGAGATCTGATAATCACAATAAATATATTTAATTGACGATATTAGGTAAATATAGGTAAAAATTGTGAGCAAATTAAGCAGTTATTTCCATCTAAAAAGTACACTGAATTTTTCGTTAGAATGAGACAGATGGATAATGTATTTGGTGTGTTCGACAGGTGTGGGAGCTTCACAAGTGTGTTGGATCGTGAGTGACGGTCCGAACGCCGCCCGCCTTAATTACAACCCCATGTTGACATGTCCACCACACTTGACTTTTCGTGCAATTATCGTAAACTATTTTAAACTTTTTCTCCTTCTTCGGATATTTTAATGAATATATCAAAATTCTAGAAACGGTAACATGAAAGAGCAAATTTAAAAAAAAAAGTAGACTCAGTATGTCTTAATTTAATTACAGAAAAGAATGCAATTTTTGAACTGAAATGTAAGAATTTGCTATTGAAATGATCTCGTAAAGTCTTCATGGGAATGAGTGAGATAATATTATACCGAAATGAACAATCAACACACATTTATTCCAAACAAAGTATATAATTTTATATAATATGCAAAGCTATGCAATTCGCAAGCTAATATTCGCTAGCAATTCGCAGTGAACTTTATACTTACCTTATTATATTATGTATTGTATGTAAAATTAATTTATAAAGTGATGCTCATGCTTACCTATAATAATCGTCCTTGCAGTAGATGTTTCCATCTCGGGAGAAGCAAGTCAGCTCGGTGTCAAGTGGCAATCGACACTCGCAACATCTCAAGCAAGTACCATGCCACTGTCGGTCTACCGCTAGTAGGTAAAACCTAGTGAAATTGTTAAAATAGACATCAATAAACTAGCCTGCCTGGTCACTTTAAAACGATTAAGGACAAAAGCTACAAGGTAGATATATGAAACAAATTGCTTATGTATTTAAAAAAATTGCGTACATTTGTATATGAATATTAACCGAACAACTACACCAAGCAATAATAAAAAGTAGTAGGCATGTTGATAATGGCGCGTCTACATGTTAGCCGGTACATTTTGCAATCTATAATGCTTGTAAAATAACTATTAAAGTTTCCATTTCTATGCGAGGTCGTGTGCTCATATCAGTTTATTGCTGCATTTCAATTACTTGTAATGTCATTTAGTGCATTTCTGCGCCATGTCTACAGCGGTTACGAGCATACAGATCATCTCACCTGTCTTGTATCCTCCCCCCGCAGCCGGCGCACTCGTCTGGGGCAGCAGGCGACCCCTCCAAACTCTGCCTCTCCTTAAGCATGGTTTCCTGCTCCGTCGTGCCGCCCACAACGGACTCTGTTCCTCAAATAACAGGGTTCAATTCACCTTGCGCCGGCTGTTCTCCGTTGCCGATGGCCGCAGACATAACTTGACTGATCTGTTTTTGCCTGATTGAATCAAAGCAGGATTCCAATTGTTTTGTAATAGCAAAACCTGTTGACGGATGAGAAACACGAGTTATAGTTATGTATAACGAAGTAACTATATCCTGTTATTAGCGCATGTTAGTTATGGCATTCGATGAAAAAATTCCATATTTCATTTATAAGATTTACTCCCAGGAATCGTTGTTTATACAACATTAGATTCTGTAGATAACACTTATTGGTATTTATTATATTGATGTCAAATTAATTTAATATTTGTTCACCCACTTCAACTCCACAATATATTACTGATTCACCATGACAAAAAAATAAGAGGCTTTATTTATTAAATTATTCAAACTTTCGTGAGACATTATACTAAACTGATATATAAACACGGCTATACGTGAGTGTTTAGCCGTGTTTATATATCGGCTTTATTTATTAATATTAATATATGATCATATACTCTAGCAATGGACAGACGAATGATGATAATGATATAAAGCAAGTCACTGATTATTCTCGTTGATAAAAGTTCTTTCGTTTAAAATGTACATATCTTTGTGCGTCGTTTTTGTTATAAATAAGTAGTCCGTGTCCCAGTTTAATTACAAATGAAAAATAATTTGTAAATGTTTTGTATAAATAAAAGAGTTTTAGAATATTCCGTGTATTCACTGAAAAACGTAAAAGAAGGCAATGTATATGACCTTAGGTCAGAGCTTACATTTGACTCTATTTTAATTTTAAATTGGCGCACATTTTTATTTAAAAAGTCTATTTCGTTTGATGTCTTTAAAATTTAAATACGCTTGCAATTTCAAAGACACGCCTTAAAGATGTCTCCTTTAACAAATTTACTTACTTCTTTAATTAAGAAAATTTAAAAAGAAGTAGCAAAAAAGTCTAACAGTAAAAAAATGATAAGACTAAGGGCCCATCCCAATAGTCGATGCTTAATATCAATATGAAGTTTTTTTATAACATTTTAAGAGTAGGTATAACAATCCCCTACTGAATTAGAAAGCAGATTACTATATTATTATTTTAATATTGTAATGCAAAGATCTTTCAAACTAGCATACTTTTATAAAAGTAAATTATTATAGATACGCGGAAAGAATCAATTTTTAAAAGTATAGGGTATAAAAAAGGTTTAAAAGTAAGTATTTTCTTTAATACATTAAAGGTTAAATATAAATATTCAAACGAACATCCTATACGAATTGAAAGTACCATTGAATATAGAGAACAAGGCTTTTCTATTATAAACTTTGAATGCAAGAATCAACTATAAAACAGGCGTACGCTTCGAGTTTTCAACGTTAAGCCCTATCTCGGAGCTCCTTAGTATATCATTTATTATTCCTCCATGCGACTGGCACAAATCAGCATCCGTACACAATGGACTATCTATACATTTCTATGGAAACTTATACGAGACCGCTCTTTTATTGGAAGAGACAATGGAGCCTGTTAAAGTTCGTTTTATTTCAGTCTGAGGACCGAATGTCGTGTACGTTTTAAAATGTAAATTCTTCAGGTCACTGATCACTTCTCCGAATATATGATAAAGGAACTAGAGAAGGAAAATACATAGAAAGAAAATTCTTTATGTAAGTAATATTTTTTGTAAAGGCAGTGTATTAGAACAATTGAATTACTGCTACGTCTACTTGTATATCACATCTATTTATAATTTTCATAAGGTACAGGCGGCGCGTTTTCCAAACTTTTTTTATGTCATAAAGTGGCAAACGAGCGAGCGGCCACTTGAATTCGCGGGAATGGCTAAGCGACCACTGCGTGTAGACATCCGCAATTGCAGAGGCGTTGTCTACCTTTAATCGATCGAGGAGACGTACAGAAAGAGAATATTTCCCCTTCTATGCGTCCCTCCTATGAAGGACTTACTTTACGGGTTATATATGTACCTACATAATTGTGACGTGTAGGTATAAGTATTTAACTCTTTCGATACGGAAAGTTTATACTCTATCTACTCAGCCATGAGACGCCCACTGCTGGGCATTCTTTATACTAAAACTATTGAAAATCGCAGAATATTTTATCATAACTTCATCATCTGACTTATGAAAGGTTAAACCCCAAACGTGATTCTATTGTTGAAGTTGCGTGGGTGATTATGGGATATACATAATTTTGTTATATTCTGTAAACAATAGTTTTCGACTTGGCCGAACACGAGAGCTTGCCGCAAGTGGGTGAGAAAATCACGAACTAAAACAATACTGATCGACCTTAAGTTTACCTAAGTAATTGAGGAATAACTTTGTAACCTCTAGTAAAACAAAAAAAGCCGTTGAGTTGTTATTCATTATATTTGTATTTTACTCTATTACTAAGATTATTCCCGAACTTTTATTTTACCTGTAAATATTTGAATAGTACAAATGGTTAATACCATTTAAAAATATCTCATAAGAAAACAAATAATCTAACTGAATTTATGTTAATTTATTTATCAATTTACTTATATCGATTCAACAATTTCGCGAGTCAATTTTTTTAAACTAATATGTGAACGGTTAAACACTCATTAGATTATAGAAACGTCTCACGAAAGTTCAAATATTTTTTGTTGCAAAAATCATTTAAAAATGTCACAGATATTGAATTAAATTTAAGGTTACAAATAATGAGAATATTTACCGAAAACACTGTTTTAAAATATAAGTAGAAACGACAACTCAATACTTTAACACATCACAAATGCGACGTTTGTGCTCTCAATACTAGTTATCGTATAGCTTACAAGTTTATTACAGCGAACGTTAAATGGCCAATCAATTGGCCATAACACTGGCCACTTATACAAAGCCTTTAGATAAGAAGCGTTAATGGTTTCGACAATCTAACATCGCGATTTTATGTTCAAGTAGCTATTTGTTTTTTCTTCGCTACAGTACTATTATTTTTAATACCACATATTTATATCGTAAATTATTATTAAACTTCAGACGAATTTTAACAATATAATGATGTTTTGTATCAAGAATAGGCGTTACAAAAATATTTTTTCACTAATGATCTTATCTGAATACGTCGCGTCGTAACTTTGAAGCGCAAATATAAATAACCTGAAAAAAATAATCTACTAAAAGTTATTGTATATTTTATATTTTTATCCAGAGATGTCTGACATTTTTGACATTCAGCTAAGGTACCTTCTTTATATAGACAGGATTACTTAATTTTTAATTAGGTAATTAATAATAGAGAGCGTCGGTGGCTCAGGGGTCAAGCACTTGACTTACAATCTGCATGTCCTGGGTTCGAATCCCGACATGTGACAATGTGTTTTTCGATTTCTGATTTACATATGTACATAAGTACGACGTTCTTACGGTGAAGGAAAATATTGCGATGCAACCTGCATATCTGAGAAGAAATTCAAAGATATGTGTAAAGTCAACCAACCCGCACTCGGCCAGCGTGGTTGACTTTGGCCTAATCACCCTTAACTTAATATAGGTTAACTTAATAATAGTTCGCTTATGTGCTTATATAAAATAAATGTAAGTTGAAAATTTTGTACAAATATTATAACAGTACTTTTTTTAGTTTAAATTTAAATACTTAGATAACTTATAACATTAAAAAGATGAAGATTAAAAAAAATCCTTTAGTACGTATTTGTGGTTTTTGGTTGGCAACTTAAATATTAACCAAACAAAATAACTGTACGTACTTGTTTGTGTAAGTGAAATTAAAATCATAGATGTCTTTTTAATATTCAAATATCCAAATTCAGTCAAAATTAAGCGAATGCTTAACATTAAATAAACGTTGCAAGCAAATAATCTATGACAAATGTTTGTTTTAGTATCTAATGTATGAACCTTACAGTTATGTTATAAGAATCACTTTTGAATGACAAAATATATTAACAGTTTCAATTTATGAAGCAAATGATCACTAATTAATTAGTGAGAGATTATGCAGAGTTTAAATAATTTAACATTTGCAACACTACGACATCACGAGGAAGTATAAAGCAATGTCCGTTTGTTCATAATTTATTTGCCAGTTAGTTTTGAACATTTTAACATGTTTCATAAGTGTTTTATAAAATAAACGAATGTATCCCTTCGACCGTGTTCATGTACGAATATGAATATTTTTACGCGACTCGGTAATAAGGTTTATGCGAGTATGTTTCTGTACAAAACTAGCTGTCGCCCGTGACTCCGTCCGCGCGGGATTAAAAAATAGTAGCTAGTAGATTCTCAGATCTACAGAATATGTATATATCTTATATATAAAATTCTCGTGTCACAATTTTCGTTCCCATACTCCTCCGAAACGGCTTGACCGATTCTCATTAAATTTTGTGAGCATATTGAGTAGGCCTGAGAATCGGCCAACAACTATTTTTAATCCCGCGCGGATAGAGTCGCGGGCGACAGCTAGTATTTTTGTAGAAAACAAGTCCAGCAAGCCATTTCGGAAGACTAAGATAAATAATATTGTGCCACGAGAATTTTATATATAAACTTCATAAAAATTGGAAGGTCTGCATGTAACAAAAAAAATGTATTTCGTACGCATAATTCGCCACGTTGATGACGAATAATCAATTATAAAAATGTTTGCCTAACCACTATGTGCCATTTTTCTGGGTAATACTCAGTCCGGCTGTACCGATTCTGACGGGACTTCGACGCGAAGGTAGCTCATGCACGCCGACATAAGCTTTTTTTTTTTTGACAAAGTCGCGGGCGATTCATAATAGAATATAATTTTTAGAAATCCTACGAATTTGAAATAATAATATGTTATCTAAAAGAAGTTTTTCCAAGCTGCATAAGCTTTCGGAGCATTAATAAGGTAAGCAGCGAAGCTTCACATAAAAACCATAGCGTGGTTTGTTCACGCTATCATTATAGTTTTAATTACGAATTTACAATGAATTGAGCCCGAGAATTATTTAACAGAGTAGCCGTAGGTGATTAAAAATTCAGTTTTATCTTATCATAAATAGAATTTATTTTTCTTTATCAGGAATTGCGTTTATTTACAGCCATTGTAAATATAGTTTTACCGCCGCTGTTCGTTTTGATAAGGGTGTTTTAAAGTCGGAGGTTTTAATATTAGGAGCTATAAAAAACAAGGCATTTTATGTTGGTCAGATATAAGCTGCATATATTGGCTGTAAGCTACAATTGATAGACGGAACTTTGTTGTTAAACGATTGTACAAATTTGATATTTTATAGAATCCATATCAAGAAGGTATCCATAGCTTTCTTTGTCCTTTTAGGATAAAACATGCAAAAAATGTAGTCATGATTTGGGATTAAAATGTTATTAATTATTACTTATTTATTTATTAGAATTATAAAAAAACTTAATATATAAATAAGTTAAATATATAAAGTTAAAAAAATAAAAAGCAGCTCTTCAACGCATAAATTCGAAAAAAATGAATAAATGGTATCCTATGTCCGTCTCCATGCTCTAAGCTACCTCCTAACCAATTATCAGGCATAACGGTAAAGCCGTTCTTGAGTTATAAATAGTGTAACTAATACGACTTTCTTTTATATATGTAGATATTTCATTAGGAAATTTGCTATTGGTATGTACTATTAATTTAGGTAATTTAGATTACTAAAAATCAATCAGATGAAAAAAGTTTTTAATGTGACATGTGTGTATTGACAGTGTTTAATGTGTTTTATTATTTTTTTTGTTATTTAAGAGTACAATTTTATAAATGTTATCTCATATTTCCTTACCGAACTAACAACGCTTTGTCGGTACGAGGCTTTGCGACGTTGAAGCCGTTAAAATTTTACGATATTATTAACAGCTAGCATTAGTTTCTAAGTATCGATAATTTTAATGACCATACCGTTTCCGCGAACAAAAATATGTCAAACTGAAAATTATATTGATAAAATAAAATTTAATTATGTTACACGCATAACCTTTAACCTCATTAATGTTGTGTAGAACTCCGATACCCACAATAAAGTAAGCTATTTATATTCGAAATAACTTTTGTATTTCAATAATATAATTAAGGAAAATTAAATTTTGCAAATCGTTCATTATTTCAATACGATAATTTTATAAGTGTGGTATATTTATTTTATAAATAGCAAAAAAAATGTACACTACAAATTATTTACCTCAAAATGCAACACAATAATTCAACCAATTAAAACAAATTTAGTTTGAATATTCACTTTTGAACTTTAAATTTACTTCACTTTTAATTTAAATTCAAAATACTGACACAGACACTGGTATTTGTGCAATATAAAAACAAACAACAAAAAATTCAGCGAACGGATACGCGAAATTTGAAATTAAAAATTGTAGACGGCGAAAATCACGAGAATTGCAACTGCATCGCATTCGCGGTACGAATGAGGGTAACAAAACAAGGCCGCCCTGGACCCCTTTGGGCGGAATCCCTCCGAAGCCTCCCCACGCCACACCCTTCGAAATACAAACCCGCAGCAATTGTTACTAAGAAAACCCTGCGATAGTAAAAGGGCAGAGACCTCTGTATGTACCCGGGGAAACTTGAGAGAAGAAAGACTTTTACGATAAATGTTGCTGTTACTTTGAAATACCGAAACAGTGCGGCTTGGGAAAATGAACTTACTGTATTGCTAGATAAAGTCGAATTTTGTAAAATGGACTTCTTTGATATTTTGGTCCATAAATAATAACGGAGTGTATTTTGTGAACGTATTTTATTTGGTATAATTTTATATTACTTAACATCAAAGACATTCTATAATTAATGATCAGACATATGTGCATTTTTTAGCTCAATATTTAGTTAGATGTATGTATTTCTGTCAGCTGGATAAGGAGAAAAGAAAAATCACTGTCTAAGTAAAATAAAAAATGTAATAAAAGCCAAAAATATGTGTTTGACGAAAAAAAATAAAGTGCAAATAATAATCTTCTGTACACAAAAATTTCATATATTAAATAGTTTGTACAATAAAATCCCGAAGTCCCAATAAATTTATGTCGCATTAAGTCAAAAATTATAATTTTTAAAAAGAAACCGAATCTGGTCCAGTACTCTTCTAAATATCGTTATCTTAATAATGATAAGAAACTATTCACAAAAGTAATTAAAAACTATCTTAAGCTTAATAAAAAAAATAAAATCGCTAGATCACAAGGGACTGAATATTACTAAGTAAATTAAAAAGGAAAAACAGATTTGTCAATATTTACATTGAAAGCGTCGACTTTTATTACTAAAATCTACATTGAAAAAAAAAATAACTGGCTATTAATAATGGTCGAAAAAATGTAACTCCAAAAAGTGCTTGAAGGTGTAAGACGCATCTTATAATTCCTGAGTAGACTTAACTCTTTATTATTCCTGGACATTACGCTGAGAGCAAACAAGTCATTTCATATTATACACGGACAGTACAGTATTTTATATGTGAGCAAAACGATTCATTTCTTTAAATGGTAGTGTCGCAGTTTCTTTTCATTTTTAATATTTATGGGTAGAACGTAGCTGGACTAGTTCATTCATTCATTCATTCATTCATTCATTCTAGTGATGTGCCGCGAACTAATTAAGTGTTGCATTAACACGTTACAATGAACGTTAACACAGTCAATTAGACTGTTAAGGGACAAGTGTAGTCAAGCATCGTACATTGTAATTAACGATCCTATAAGTGTACTACAATTACATATATCTAGTTTTGTACTACACCATCGGAATGAGCTATGTGCGAAAATGCACCGTGTGTTCACAGATTAAGATTTACCAAACTAATTATCCAATCAATAATAGACTCTATGCCATTGGTATACAATCGGAAATTGAGAGTCGCGAGTTTCGGCTGATGACCTATTTAATAAACGCGAATTGCTAGTCTAGACTGCTGTAAACAGAATTCGAATAGTTCACATGTCATATATTTCATTGCTTATTTTGAATTATTCATTTATATTGATAGAACTAATTTAGTAATTTTTTAATATAAAAAAAGAAAACTTTTTCCAATCAAATCGAGATTTTTTTTAGCTTGTCAAGTTTCATTGAACATAAAACGTTACTTGCGTATAACTTAAAGTTCATCATTGCCTATTATAATATATTAGTTATTTAAATTGGATTTTAGATAGGATAATATTTTTAAATACAGGCTATTGGCATAAGTCGATATTTTGTATGCTTAAAAATCCGTTTTCGAGTAAAAAAATCAAAGTCAATAATCGTAGTGTCGTGTATGCAAATTAATTATCATTGAAATAGGGTGGTACACTTAAATAACATACGCTTTGAGAGTTCCACGATCATGTGAACACAGCGAGGAAAGGCTTCATTGCGCCCTCTTCACGTGCGCGTACTAGGGGCTACAATTATTGTACTACAATTTACCTTGTATTTCGTAGCGCGAAGTGGCAACGTCGCCAAAAGCGTCGCGTGGCGGTAAAATTCGCCGGCGAACAGTTACAATACGCATTCAACTGTTCGAAATTTGAACGCGGCACTGCTTGGATCAGAGCGACATCTGTGGGGGCCACGATGCTGCGTTGCCACGCCTCCATCTCCGCACTCGCCAATCCAACAGCTGAGCTCATCGAATGCGGTTTGAAATTCGAACCGTTAGCCGGTGTTTTTGTCTCACTCACCGCAAGAAGGTCGACTCTATAAAAAACGAGATGACTTGATTACAGTGGTTCGGTTCTATTTCATGTTCAAACACAAAGTTGGCGTTAAAAAAAGGTTTAAATCCTTTATTTTGTTATATTATTTTGAACTTAGTGCTAGTATGGAATAGAGATGATATTGAGAACTAGTAAATTTTAAGCTGAATTCAAATTTTCAGAGGTCTTTCGGCTAGAAAATAATGTAAATACATCAGTTTCGAATCGCGGTCGACCATCGATTACCTTTAAACCCAATGCAGACAATTTAAGTTCGAAATATATCTGGCCAACTTGTATGCATAGATTAAAAATGTCCTACACTTATATGTTAATTTAAAAATATTGTTGGAATTTATTATCCTATTTTATATTATTTATTATGTAGATAAAAATTTCCTTTCTTGATGTTTTTTTTTCGAAAGGAAACTTTATCCATAGATGTTTAATGTAGGTTGATAAAATAAATTGTGGAGAAAATTCTTAAGAACTTTATTCTGTTAGAACGTTTATAAAGTTCCTCTTCGGTACATCAAACATCTACAATGTAAGTGAAGAGCTGCAGTTACAAGTTTCACTAACAATCCGTTAAACTCTTTCTTCACTCCTTCTTACTGGGGTAAGATAAACTTGTATTTCATAACTTTAGCTTAAGTTTTTTTTATTTAAGTGTGGGATTTACACTGCATTTCCTCTCAAATAGACTGGAAAACTTTACACTCTTCGAATCTTTATAGAGTATGATTTCAATAGAGTGACAATTTTTTTTATGATGAAAATAAACAATTGCTCTTTTTAAATTGATGTTGTAATTTTTGGGATTTTATTATTTCCTTTCAAGTCAAAATATTTGATTTCGATGCATACTAAAATTAAAATCTATTTTTGTACCTTTGTCCGATTAGATTGCCCAGTATTTTTTTCTCTTGGGCGTATAAAAATTATATTGGACCTCTTGCTATTGTGCATGCGCTTGGGATTCATTGCAAAACATCGTAAGAATAGGGACATAAGTTTATATTTTTCTATATGTTGTTCTTAAATGTGACGTTTAGAGTTACACTGAGAGGTAAATTGACGAGGATCTTGAAGAACAAAAGTCGTTTATTTGATTTTTACCTTTTTAATAAATAAAGGAGTTGACAGGTCTATATAATTAGACGGTCGGAGGCGGTAAGCGCGGTATCGCTTCTACTGAGTAATAAATATTTTTCACAGTAGGTGTACCGCTAACACGGAGTTTAAATATAAATATAGAGAGAGCGGCGATCGGAGTCTCTGATAAGTTATCGTGCACTTCCGTCGACATTCGAGCGGGGCTAAAAAAATAATCGGCGTTTTTATTCATTTTAATTTCTTCTAATAACGATTAAACAAATGGCTCGTTAGTGAACAAACACCCTGATTAAATATGATATTTGCACATTTTACCAATATATTTATTTAACAGAAATTTTATATTTTGTTTTATAATCCATTAAAACATTGAAATAAATCGCCATAAAAATTAGACTAATTCTTGGTTTTTTCCAGATCTGACGTGAGTGGCGGAAACGTGAAATTCAATGTCTGTTATCAATATCAAAGTATTATCAAAATCTGTTCAATAGTTCAGGATTGCATCGAGGACAAACATACAAACGCAGATTTTTTATGTGTGGAAATAATCATAAGATTATTTATACGCCACACTGATGGGGGGTCTAAAATAAGTGCTCTATTTATCATTACTACGGCTAGTTTTTCAGTTAAGATGTGAGGGAATGTCGACCGAAATTAGCTCCGACATCGTCCAAATATCTCCGCATCGACTCATTGACCACCCTAGTCTTAGATAGAGGGGGATAAATAATAATAACTGTCTAATTTTACTTCATTTGTTTCTTAACGAGCCATCAGTTTCTATATTTTTCGATAACATGATTATAAACAATTTTCTTCTCTTCCACATATCTTCGGACTTTAGCAATTGGACGTAACTTAAATTATTAATTAAAAAAATATCGTATATTTATTCAAGAACCGTTAGCTTTTCGATTTTTTTATTTATTTGATTGAAAACTTATCAAAACTAATAACAAGTTGTATCAAGTTAATAGAAGAAAAATACGAAGCTAGAAAATTAATTGGCGTGACGTCATCGTTCGTTGATTCTCTTTTCAATTTACACCAAAAAAATGTATTCACGTGATCTTGCAGTCAAGATGAAGAATGTCGGAGTAAAGATTCGTACATTAAATGGATAAAAATGTGTACATTAATTAAATTTAATATTTGTCAACAAATAAAAGTACATTTATTTATGACTAACTACAGTTAGAGTTAGTGAGGCACTTTGTATCTATTACTCACACGATATTACAATCCGGAGTGAAAATCGTGGCGCGGAGTTCGAGTTGAGCTGTAACATTCAACAATACAAACTTTACAAAGTTATAATTAATCTAATTATATTTCAAATAAATGGACGAATTCCAGCACGGTCCAAAAGTTTAAATTACGTATATCCGTATTAATTTAATATCTGGCCAATTAGTGAGATAAAAATGCCGTTGTGAATTCTTGGCTCCGAAAATTTCATTTATTCAATTTGATTTTGTTGAG